CTTTATGCTCCTTCTCTCCACCAACCAGTACTGAAAAGTAGCTCACTGCAGAAGACTGGCGGTTTTCCTCCTTACCCAGGGCTATCCTTCCACCCCATGCTTTCCTTTTATAAAGTGCTTCTCATAGGTACAGAATTTTCTTCACAGGCCTATTGTCTTACTATTTTTTATTATGATGTGGAAAATAAGTATAAGATAGGGATAATAATTTGTGCTGCTTTGTAATATTTCTTTGGAGAATTCAAATAAGTTAATGAGTGAGCTATAAGCTCACAGGAACAGTGCCTGGCACATAGCAAGTGCTACAGGAGTCTGTTATCAATTGTTCCATTACATTTACTAACTCGGGTCCTTGCACTTGCAAGACAGGCCGCCGAACCACTGAGCTAAATCCCCAGCCCTTTAGCGTCAGATGTACTGTGGTAGTTTAGAAGTCTGTATGTTTTGGTTTGAAAAAAAAGTTAGCCTAAGGTATCCTAATGTTTAAAGGTATATTTACTTCAACAGTAGAGACTCCTATTGCCTTGTTATCACCTTGTCCCTAATTCGGTGGCTGTCTGGGGATGGTAGTTACTTGGGCAGAGTATTTTCAAGACATTTTAGAAAAGGATGGGAATGAGGACAGTGTGTTTCAGCTTCCTGGTGGTTTTGATGTTTCTCCATCCTGACTGCTTTAATTGCAGTATTTTGTTGTCAGATGGACAGCAACTCTTTTGTTGTCAGAAAATGCCGTATAGAATAATATGCAAATAACGATCAGGGATTGTGCTTTTATGAAAATATGTCCTTTAGAATATTATGCTAGCTGAATAACATCTCTCAGATAATTGGTCACACCCATTAATGAACATTTCTGGAGCAATGGATGTGTTCACATGCTAGACTAAGTGCTCTGGTGGGTAAATCTTGACTTCTGAGAATGTCAGTATGATCCCCTAAGATCAGCAGATGGAAGCCAGATTGTGAAAGGTCCTGAATACCAGACAGGTCTTCACGTTTGATCGTCTAGAATCATAATGGCAAACCGTTTAGAGTTTTCAGAGGTAACAGGCAAGTGGCTGTGTCATGTGTGCCATTGTTTTGCCACCACCAGTTAGATGCTGAAGGGTTAGGTGTTGAAGGATTTGCCACATTGTAAAGTGATATATTTGAGGGTAAGTATTTCAGAATCAAAAGGATTGCAGCTGAGAAACACTAATAATAGTGGTACCATTTAGAAGGCTGATTGGTATTTGGGTTGGTGGCTCCTGGGGCCATATGAGCACTATGAGCAACCTTCCAGATGCCACACCAGAAACCCTGAGGAGGGTGCCAGAAATCCGTGTCAGTGATCCCTTGGTAACTCTAGTATGGCTGGAGTTCGAGAATCACTGTTCTAGGCAAAACGTGAGCAGGTCCAAAGTGGAGTTACATAATGAATGTAAGGTCTTGTAATCAGGGAGGTAGGAGGGTATGGAGCACCCTAAAAGAACACTCAGAAGTAAGTACATTGAAGTGACATGGCAGAGATGATAACCTTTGGAAGAAATCTACAAGACAAAAAGATTAGTTTTGAGAAGAATATTAATTTTATTTTTAAACGTTGAATTGAAAGCTGGTGATATTTCCTGCTATAATTTTCCCTAGCTAGTTGATATTGTTCAGTTTGAATAGGAGAGGGTGATTGGGGATAGATATACAAGTTTAGTAGTCACTTATTTTTTAAATGATACATGAAAATTTGATACTTAAAAAGGATTGATAGTTATTGGTCTAGTGGTTGAATGAACAGATGCTATAGGAATTCTAAGAGAAATGAGAGATCTCAGGATCCTGAGTACTTCAGGGAATATCCCAGTTAGTACAATATCTTTTAAAATAAGATTGAATTTTATTCTTATACTTCACTTGATACACAACCACTAGGTCCATAAAATCTGTGGCATTAACTGCAGTTAATCCTCTTAGGTTAGACCCTGAAACAGCTATGTTAGAAGAGTTATAAAAATGGAATGATACCCATTATATATCATTTTGAGTCTTATTATATATTCTTCCTGCAGTCATACTAAGTGTATTAAAAACTAACCACCAATTTTACCCTTTTCTTTAAGATTCTAAGTGGCAAGAACTCAACCAGTTAACAGTTGACAGACAACAGAAACTGGAAGAATCCTCCAATAATCTAACCCAGTTCCAGACTGTAGAAGCTCAGTTAAAACAGTGGCTTGTGGAAAAAGAACTGATGGTTAGTGTTCTCGGGCCTCTGTCCGTTGACCCGAATATGCTGAACACACAAAGGCAACAGGTGCAGGTGAGTATTACTTAATTTGTCTCAAGCTCAGCATAATGACTGAGCAAGACCAGTGCTTTCATCATAAATATGTTCACTTGACACTGGGTTCTTTCAAGCTTGGACTGGATTTTTAATGTTTGAGGTGCCCTACGCTGTTCATTTTAGAGAATTATAGCCACAAGTTGTCCCAGAGGAGTCTCTTTGAGCTCGTGAGTGGACCAAGTCCCTAAATTATTCCAGTGATAGAGTCGTTGATACAAACCATGTTTTTAAATAAAGGACCTTCTCTGAAGTATTAATGTGATTGTTTCATATTTTTATGAGAAGCTAGCCATAATTTTATTATTTAGAAATTATTCCTCTCAAGTCTTGTTCATTTTGTTTGAGGTAGTTGATAATGAAATCTGTACAACTCATGCAGTCAGTTCTGAGGTGAAGAGAGACAAAATTAGAAAGGGACATAGGATGAAGGAAGGAGAGAGGAATCCTAGAAGCCCAGTTCAGTAGACCAGCCTAGTTAATAAATCCACAATAGCTGATAAATCCACAGTGGGGAGGAGAGCCATGAAGTTGAAGTCAGACATAATGGCAGAACTCTGAGTGGTCCAGTTAGATTTCTTTAGGTGGGAGTAGCAGCTTTAAAGTTGGGAGGTGATTCCATAAGCTGAAAATACAGATACTTTCTGAAGAGAATAAAAGCAAAAGATAAAAATAAATGTCTCTGGTCTTAATAGTCTCTCAGAGATGGATAGATAAGTTACATGTGAAATAAAAATGTAAAAAGATACATAAAATATTCTAAAAGACAAAAATTTGGAATCATTTGTTGTATAGTGAGAGTCTTGTTGAATCTATATTCTGACCAACTTGATTTTTCTGGCTAAACTTTAGGCTATAAAATGCCAGTAAGTCCTATGTTTAAGAAAAACTTTGCTGCTGGGTGGGGTGTGGTAGTGCACGCCTGTAATCCCAGCATCCAGAAGGCTGAGGCAGGAGGATCACATGAGTTGGAGGCCCAGTTGGGCTACATAGTGGGTACAAGGTCAGCCTGCATTATAAAGCAAGACCCTGTCTCAAACCCCGCCACCACCACCCCCAACACAGTTGCAAAAGAAGACATTGTGAGCATAATATATTCTAACACTTAGCAGCATTTTCCTTAATGTAGAATACTTTGGACTATTTCATAAATCCCGAAAAGAGAAAACATGGATTGGAAAAAAATTTGGTGACAGGATGATGTTTTCCTTCATATTTGAAAAATTTAATATGAACTTCTTTTAATTTTGCCTAGAATACCAGAAAAGATTTATTCTATTCTTCCCCTTTGGGAAATACAATTATTTTAGACAAAGTGTTCTCTCTCTGAAGCACCATGACTCTTTGAATTAGCAGTTAGTTTAGTGTAATTGCACTGTCCTTGAAATAAAAACTATGAGAGTGGTAACTAAAAGAACAAAACCAAAAACTGATAAATAAGTACCATTTCTGTCTCTTTGGATGCTTAAAACTGTGTTTTCTGACTTACCATACAGTAATTTATGTTTACTTTAGATTCTGCTGCAAGAATTTGACACCCGGAAACCTCAGTATGAACAGCTCAGGGCAGCCAGCCATGGCATTTTGAGCAGACCTGGAGAAGACCCTTCTCTGCACGGGGTTGTGAAAGAGCAACTGGCAGCTGTGACCCAGAAGTGGGATGGCCTCACAGGACAACTGAATGACAGATGTAGCTGGATTGACCAAGCTATTGTCAAAAGCACACAGTATCAGAGCTTGCTGAGAAGCCTTTCTGGTAAACTGAGTGAACTGGAAAGTAAACTCAGCAGCAGCCTGGCTGTGAGCACACTCCCTGGTGCTGTGAACCAGCAGTTGGAAACAGCCCAGAAACTGAAACAGGAAACAGAGCAGGAAGTACAGCAGCTAAAAGTGGCCCAGGTGCTCTGTGAGGACCTGTCAGCGCTGGTGAAAGAGGACTACCTGAAAGCAGAACTCAGTAGGCAGCTGGACAGCATCTTAAAATCATTTAAGGATATCGAACAGAAAGCAGGTCTGTCTTCTCTTCATACTTGTGTTTCCTGGTCAGAAGTAGGTACCATACATAGCCCAGATAGCATATATTACAGTTTTGAATGATCCAGGGCCCTTACAAAATGAGTGAAGAGCAGGCTGGACTCAGGAGCACAGGGTGGTACACTGTGCACACCCAGGAGTGGGAAACTCCACTTGGCATTAAACCCCTAGACAGATTCTGTGTTGGCAAAATGTGCTTAAGAAAGATCCATTAAATTATTAGGTATCCTAATTTGGTTTTGAAAAGATGTAAACATTTTTATGTGATGTTATCTAAGTCCACCAGAAAAATGGATGCTTAGATATTTTAAAAGGCTGTATGTCATCATCGTGATCATATCTCCTTTTTTCTTTTAATTGCTGCTACTGGAAAATGAACCCAAGCTCTCGTGCAGACCCAACAAGCATTCTGCCATGGAGCCAATCCCCTGCTCCTGTTATCCCCTGTCTACTACTGTTCTGTCTGACTCTGTCATAGGTAACTTAGAGAAGTATCTGTATTTCTCTGTTTTCTTCACTGCCTGCTGCAGCAGTAATTCTTTGGCAGATCTGCTGGTATTTGTTAGAGGTAACATAGTGAGTTATAGGAAGTCGGGATGGTCTTGTCCAAGGCAGACACATTTTGTTGCTCTGGTCTGTTTGAAACAGCACTAGTTTCTAAGTCTTATACCTAGTGGATTCTCAATTTATATTTTTAATTGATTGGATTTGTTTGTTGATTACAGAAGCCATTTCCTACTTACTCATTTATTTGACGTGCAGGCAATATAATGTTTCACCTAGAAACTGTATATTATCTCCTGGCTCAACCTCTTTGGAGCTGGAGAACTGTGGGAAAATAATTAAACCTCCACTATATGTAAAAGTCACAGAAGCAAAAAGGTCAGATTTGCTGAGAGATAGATAATCACCTTAGCCTAGAACTTTAGCTGTCTCTTCCTCACCCTGGAATGAGGAGCAGAGTAGGCAGTATGTGCTATGACCATACCCTACACCACAGTGCATTTTTCCTTGCTTTCATGGTCGCTGTTTTCTCTTTCTCTTGTCTTTTGCTTCTTACCTTGTCTCTCACTGTTGTACATGCTTCTTTTTTCCCGTGTCAGTCATTCTTGTAGTTCTTTTCCTCAGACACTTCTGTACATTCATTTGGAGATTTTTTTCTTGGCTTTCCATAGATTAAATTAACCTTTTGATGTAAAATAAACATGTATGTAATTTTACTTTTAGAAAATCTTGTCCAGCACCTTCAGGCAGCCTGTGCAAGCTCACATCAATTTCAGCAAATGTCTAGAGATTTTCAGACTTGGCTAGATGCAAAGAAAGAAGAACAAAAGAAATCTCATCCAATATCAGCTAAACTTGAAGTCTTGGAATCATTAATTAAAGAGCAGAAAAACTTTAGTAAAACTTTGGCTGCCCAGTCCAATATTTATGAAAAAGCCATTGTAGAAGGTGAAAATCTGTTATTGAAAACACAAGGGTCTGAGAAATCCGCCTTACAGTTACAGCTTAACATGATTAAAAACAACTGGGATGGATTTAATAAGCAGGTGAAAGAAAGAGAAGACAAATTAAAAGACACTTTGGAAAAAGCCCTCAAGTACAAAGAATGTGTAGAGACCCTCTGTCCATGGATAGATAAATGTCAGAACAACCTGGAGGTATTGAAGTTTTGTGTGGATCCTGCTGAAACACAGAATTCTATTTCCCAGTTGAAGTCTCTGCAGAAGGAAATGGACCAACACTTTGGTATGGTAGAACTGCTGAACAATACAGCCAATAGCCTACTCAGTGTTTGTGAGGTAGATAAAGAGGTAGTTACAGATGAGAATAAAGCACTGATCCAGAAGGTGGATATGGTCACTGAACAACTTCACAGTAAGAAATTCTTTCTGGAGAACATGGCCCAGAAGTTTAAAGAATTTCAAGAAGTCTCTAAAGAAGTCAACAGGCAGCTTCAGTGTGCAAAGGAGCAGCTGGATGTCCATGATTCTCTGGGGCCCCAGGCTTACAGTAACAAATGCCTGACCATGTTGCAGACTCAACAGAAGGCCCTACAGACCTTGAATCTCGAGGTAGATTTGGCTAAGAGAATTGCTCAGGATCTAGTGGTAGAAGCCTCAGACTCGAAAGGAACCTCTGACATTTTATTACAAGCAGAAACCTTAGCTAAAGAGCATAGTACACTGAGTCAGCAGATTGATGAAAAGTGCTCATTCTTAGAAACCAAGCTTCAGGGCATTGGACATTTCCAGAATACCATCCGAGAAATGTTTTCTCAGTTCACAGAGTTTGATGACGAACTGGATAGCATGTCTCCAGTGGGGAGGGATGTAGAAACACTGCAAAAACAAAAGGAGGCTATAAAAACCTTTCTGAAGAAACTAGAAGCCCTCATGGCAAGCATTGACAATGCCAATAAAACCTGCAAGGTGATGCTGGCCACAGAAGAAGCTTCTCCTGACCTTGTGGGAATCAAAAGAGACTTGGAAGCCTTAAGCAAACAGTGTAACAAGTTACTGGATCGAGCACATGATAGAGAAGAGCAGGTTGGAGGAATGCTTGAGCGTCTTAAAGAATTCTACAGCAAATTTAAAGACTTTTCTACTCTGCTCCAAAAGGCTGAGGAGCACGAAGAGTCACAAGGTCCTGTTGGGATGGAGATAGAGACCATTAATCAGCAGCTTGCTGTATTCAAGGTAGGGAATTCCTTGTTTTTATTGATTGTTTTTATTCCCAAGAGACATTTCTAATTGGTGTGACAAAGTGATTGCCTATTTTTAGACTCTTGTAGAATAGTTGTCAGATAGTATTTGGGCCTGAATGAGTGTATCTGGGGTAACATGGAAGCACTTGAGGAAGTCCCAAGCTTCCTTGGGATTTGGGTTTCACAGGATAAGGCCCAGTGATGCTTTCAAGAAGTTAGAGAGATGCTTGGAAAAGTCCTAGGAAAGCTTGAAACTAACATCACGGAGCCCATTTCTGAGAGCACTGATAACTCACATTTGTTATGAACAGAGTTGTGTTTTAAACTCCGATGCAAAGGTTTGTCTCCCAGAATTTTCTTTAAATGGTGAATTATGGTCTTTTCCTGTCTTTCCCTTTTTATAGTCTTCTCATACTTGTTTGATTTTTTTTCTGCAAACTTCTTCAAGGGCTCATCCTTTTAAAGGCAGTGTGGCCTTCCATGTTGTTTTCCTGGTTTCCTAAAATAAAGATCTTAGACTCATGGTCTGGAGGATTAGGAGTAATTATTTTTATTGGACTATATAAGCTTCTCAGTACCAAGAAATGTCTGTTATTTGACAAATTTAGTACCACATAATGAATGGAACATTAGATCACAGCGGTGGCCCAGTTTCCTTGTCAGTGAGTTGGGCCACATGTATGACAGTGGGAGCAGGTGTCCCATCTCAGTGGAGGACAGAGACCAGCTTCACTCCTGCTTGGAGGACCCTAAACATCAAGCCTTTGCTGCACACCTATGATCTAATCCTTTGGGGTTGCTATAGGTTCGGCGCTGTTCAAGAAATACGTTTACTTTCTGGTAAAAACTACTGAAGGTAGTAGATCGCACAGTTAGCTTGTAGGGGATGTACTAAGAACAAATAAAAACAAGATTTGCAAAACTACCAGTTGATCTGAGGTTGTAGCTCAGTAGTAGAGCATATGTTTAGCATCTGGCAGGCCCTGGTTTCAGTCCCTAGCTTTATAAAAGCAAAAACAACATATCAAACCTACAGATTATTTCTCATGGGAAGTGAATGAAAATCAAATAAACTTCCAAATTGTAAGGTGTTAGAATGACATATTGTTTCCTTCACTTGTCTTTAATAACACACTTTAGGAGATGACTGAACTTTAAAAAATAACTTCAAAATAGCATTGTTTGTGTTGTTACGGTTACTGTTTGTTCTTTATTAAATGCCTTCAAAGCACAATTCCTTCCAGTCTTAAAAATCAGTGCTTCTATATTTGGATCTTGATTCTTGAAAGTTAAGGAACTAGCTTAGTATTGACTTTGCTTCCTTCATTGTGCTTCCAAATTTTTATATTGTTCATTTGTAAAGTATAAGATTTGATGTGAGAAGAGCATCATAGTTCTGTGGCAGTTTGCTGCTTAAAAGAGAGAGCAAGCTTAGGAGTGACTGTTAACTTAGAATTTTCTTTTGAATCTTAACAAAAGTTTACAGATTAAATGACTGTTCTCAAAACAGTCTTTTTCATAGTGCAGTTTAGATATTTTGTTGTTTATGAGACAGTTGTGGTTTTTTCAGGTTTTCTGTGAATTTGTGTAGAGAAAAGACATTTCTCCTCCCTGCTTCAATGAACTGTAAGAAAAGTGGGCAAAAATAACATCAGGGCAACTACTACACGAAGATGCTTCTCATTTGTGTGCACAAGCATGAATACAGTGCAAAATGCAGCTGTCCCTGAGGAGAATTCGTAGTTAGGAAAAGCAAGTGATAGGAAGAGCTTCCTTACCAGTGCACTGAAAGTGTCTTGCAAACAAAAAACCTCCAAATAAGCATTGTTACTGTTAATAGTTGCAGAGACTGTTTTATTTGTGAAGAAAAAGATTGATCATTTCTCCAAAAATAAGCTATTTAGCATGCTGTGCTTATTTGTTTTCTGATTATTTTAGAAGGAGTTGATTAAATGTCATACATTAGTGTCTTGAAACTCAGTGACTTAAAAAAAAAAGTGTTCAAGTGGACAGATCTGCATGTAAAGTTACAGTGCCACAGGTTAAAAGAAAGAATAAGGATATGGGGTATGGTAAAGATACATTGTAGCTTAAACAACCAGTGATTCTATTTATTTATACGGATTTGACCACTAAAAATAGCAACTAAATAATTAACATTTATTTTGGTCTTACTATGTGTCAAGCACTATCCAAATGCTCTAGCCATGAAAGATGATAAATACTGTTATAATTCTCCTTGTACTGTAAAGAAACCAAGGCCCATAGGGGTTAGGTCCCTTGTCCAAGGTTACACAGGTAGTCACTGTCCAAACGTGGATATTTTGATCGAAGTAATGCATTGCTTTGTGTTAGCTTCATTTATCAGCTTTTGAATCTGATCTTTTCTCTGGAAAATTTTCATATCATCTTCACTGTAGCCTAATTTAGGCAGCCTGGATAACCAGCCATGGTTCATTTTAAGAAAAAAATACCAGAAACCCCCACTTATGGAAAGTCATCCCCTTTCCCTCTCCTCTTCCTCCATCTCTTGATCTCCTTACCCTTTGAGAATGATCTGGCTCCCTACTTCCTCTTACCTTTTATTTTGCTCTTTACTTGTATATTGAGTTTCTCATGTAACAAAACCGTGCAATATTTAAGCTTATGTGTCTGATTTATTTCACTGATGCTTACAGGGCATCCATTTTCTCATAAGTGGCTCATTTGCCTTTCTTTATGGAAGAGTACTGCTACCCTAAATGTAGGTGACATATGCTTTTTATCCACTCATCTGTTGATGGATAGCCTATGCCGAAGATTTAGCTGTTAAGAATTGTGCTGCTTTAAATGTGAGTATGCACACATCACTGTAATATAATGTCTTTAACTATTTGGGGAAGATACCTAAAAGGGGAATGGCTGGGTCAAGTGGAATTTTTATTTTTAGGGTTTTTTTGTTTGTTTGTTCTGTTTTTTTTTTGAGGGATCTTTATACTGGTTTTTGTAGTTGTTGTACTAGATTGCATTCCCACCAATAATGTAGAAAAGTTCTTTTTTCCCTGCAACTTCACCAGCATTTGTCATTATTTGATTTCTTGATGATGGCTATTCTTTTCTGGAGTGAGATGGACTCTCTGTGTTGTTTTGATTTGCATTTCTCAAATGACCAGTTATGTTGAATTTCTTCATGTATTTATTGGCCATTTGTATGTCCGTGAAGTGTGTATTCTTTTCACCTGCCCATTCTTTTTTTATTGTGTCTTTCACTGAGTGGTCTAATTTTTTTGAGTTCTTTATATTTTATTATCTTTATATTTATATTAGTCCTCTGAGGAGTAGCTGGCAAAATTTTTCACTCATTCTATAGGTTGCCTTTTCACTCCGTTTGTTGTTTCTTTTGCTGTGCAGAAGTTTTGTAATTTGATATGATCCTATAACAGTTGTTTTTACTGCCTTATTTTTGTTTGTTTTGTTTTTGGTACTGGGTAGGGAACTTGGGACCTTGTGCTTGTGAGGCAGGCAGCAGAACCACTGAGCTAAATTCCTGGCCCTACTTTTCTTACTGCCTTATGTTTGTTTGCTTTGTTTTTGGTATAACAGTTGTTTTTAAAATAAAAAATTGAACTTCTTTTAGAGCAGGAGTGAAGTTTAATAGCCATTACCCTGTTACTTAGTTAGGAAGTATCTTATTTTCACTGAGAACATAATAGATTATTTAAGCCAGAAAAACACCTTTCCTGCTTCCATTTTCCCCTAGTATTTAGTCTAACAAATAGCTGTTAATATTTATCTTTAGTTTCCTTGAAAGGACAATATTCATTTATGTTTAGGTTCCAACTCAAACATAATGATTAAAACTGAGTGCTAAACTGAATGTTCTGATTCAATCTCAGTGAATAGTACTATGAGGTTTTGAAAATAGATTGGTGTTACCTTTATTTAGTTTAAAGGTTTTAAACTATTTTGATAGTATAGGTTCTGTGACCATGTAAATGCTAGTTACTGGGCTAACATGTCTTAAGAGTGAGGTGTTTTCTGGACTCTTGATAACTTGAAGTTTCTGTTTTTACTTATGTACTGTTACAGTTAAATTCTCTGCACACTTTCATGAATTGGTGGATTGGATAACAGATTAGATTCTGTGTGTCTCTGGAATAAAAAAAAGCAAGCCCGTTTTGTGTTCCCTCTTCCCTTGAGTCTTGTTCAAAGACCCCTTCTTCAAGATTAAATACAGATACATTATTAAATAATATTAACTTTTCTATATTTATATTTACCAGAATATGAGGAATATATTCTATTATGATGTCATTAATAGCCAGTCAGGTCTCTGGTTCAGCATGAAGTAATCATTATCATCATACTGAATTGATTTAGTTTTAGTGGAGATCAAAGGAACTAGATTTTTTAATGAATGTACACAGTCATGTCCTGTAGCCCTTTGTCTAGGTTATCATAAAAAGTCTCTGCCAGGCCTCTTGTTTACTTGTGGCCACTCTGTTGCTACCTTAGTTGTAATTCATTTGCGCAAATGAACACATTTCTTGTACAAGTCTCTCTGAAATGCACATTCCTTTTTATTTCCAAATTGGGAATAGCATTATACAGAGGAGATTTTTAAGTCAGCTTGAAACCAGAGACATAGACCAGACACATGCTTAATTATACTATTATAACCTTTTTCTGGTCTAGGTGAAGGCATTGTTTAATCCAGAAATTGTTCCTTGAAAATTGGATAGCTGAAATGCAAAGTGTCATAGTGCTGAAGAAACCAGGTTGTTAGAGTACAAATTTTTTTTTAATGAAAATAGTCATTGAGTGATTTGAAAACAACCTCTATGATGTCGTCCTATTTTTAAAATTTTTTATTTTCATTGGTACATGTTTGCTGTACATAATGATTATATTCTTCTTGGGCATTAAAGATAAAGCATCCAAAGAATGCTTTGATGGTAGTGTTTGTTTATTCATATTGTGAAATAAAAGTAAATGATGAATTATTTTGTTTTT